AACTGGCAACTTGAACTAACCGGTGTCAAGCTACCCAAGCTACACCGGCATCATATATGCCATTACTATAAATATAATACTAGCGCATATAGTATATTATTGCTTACCTTCTTGATCACTTTCGTCGGTTGTGTCGGATATAGGATAACATCCGAAGTCTATAAAGTCATCTGTGTCACTCTCCCAAATGTTGCTACTACTACATGTTCGAGATTCCAATTGGGCCTCATCACATGTATCAATGACAATGTCATCATCATCGCTATCGGCTTTGACTAAGTCACTAGTGGCTACTGACAGCTGAGGACTTGTCCAGGCAGAAGAACTGTCTGGCTCGATCAAATCACTAGTGTTCAACTCCATATTTGCCTATACCATTCTGTTATGCCCTTACACCAAGGCGGTTAATACAGAAACAGAATATGAACGGGGTTATTGTCAATTTGTCATCGATCGCATTTGCATAAACGCGACCAAGTGATATAACATCACTTAAGACACTGTGATTGGTTAAAGATATATTATACTGTTACATGCTGATTGGTCGCTATAACCACTGTAGTATAGAATATCACGATCACCGTGTTCAATATTCATTCACCTAATCACTTCTCTGGTACGGTCGATTAACATTTGCCAACAAGGAACTCAGCCACACAACAAAAAATCAGAATGGTCAACGTTAGAAAAAGTACGCCAAAGCCTATTCGTGCCGTTAGCGGTGATTCCAATGATGCAACAAAGTGGTGGTTTGTTTAGAGAAAGACCAGATATTCGCCCAAAAAAAGAACGGACGTGTGAAAGTTGAAAAGAAAGAACTTGGCGCCGTTGAGTCGATTGCACCGAGTAAAACAAAACCCGACGTCTTAAAGGTACGTGATCATTGTTTCTCATATTGAAACATCTATAGTTTCTACGTTTCCGCCAACTTGTGAAGATCTGCGGGTAACTGTATCCGTGTAAATTTTGTTTTAGCTTTTGTGTTAATGCCATCGTTTTGCTTTTTAGATGTCCTTTAAGGGAACGGAGATGTTGGTACCGTTCACGCTAAGCCAGTTCGATTTCATGGCGAATTCATTTTGTCGTGCTTTTGAATCATTTGTGACGTCGACCGAAGAGTTTGCGAAGTATTTTAATGGTGAAAGGCGAAGAATGGAACCAGATGATAACCCAGATCTGATTCTAATGGACACCCCGTCTACCTCGAGCTCCACCAGTACCCCTGAAACCGCTCCATTCACCAAAGGCAATGTTGACAGTAAATGCAACAGTGCTAAAAAGCGTTCAGCTGCTTTAATCTTGCCAGATGTTGACTCACCACCCGATTTTGTCAAGATGGCCAAGCGTATATGCCCAAGGCAATGACAGACACTGAATTTCAACTGATGGTTGGTGAAAAGTATCTAATTAATGAAGGTATGGGCCATTCAATTATTTGCTTAGACATATTTATCAGTTATTTATATAAACTGACATGTAATAGTCATGTAACACTAATTCAGTCGGTGTGACTAGTTCATTCGTGTGCATGATCAAAACGAGATGGCAAAATGAGTATTTTAACTTCTTTCATCATTCTAAAATATGTTTAAAAGTATCTAGCGCTCCTAATGATCATTTTTGTAACTTCTTGTTTCATTGATTTCCAAACTAGATTTGCTCTGCATGTCACTCCGTCGACACACTAAATTTTATAAGCTCATCAGCCATGAGATATCAGAGGCGCGGGGGGGAAGCGGAAGCCTATTCAGTAAACCGAGGCCAACTCCTTTGAGAATTGAGGAGTTCTGATGATTCTCAACAACGTTAAGTTGTGTTTATGCGATACTTTCTTAAGGCAAGCCAACATGTTGTAACTGAAATCGCGACAACACACGCTACTTTGCATCATGTATGTGATGTGTGTCATGTGTGACTTCTCTTTAGCATCACATTTCTAATTTCCTTAGATTTCAAAACGTTGCGGATACGCGCGTCCACACCTGTCCACACATATCGGGATTTGTTGTGTTTTCAAAAGTTTCTATGCTGTAGACTGATTTCAAATCGTTGTGGTACGCTCCGCACATGTGATACATGTGGAAGCTTAGCGTAAAAAACTAACGCATGTTAATGACAAATGAATCCGGGCACATGTGAATGGACGCGCTGATCTAATAATAGCCTCGATCAACTCTGTAGAGGATACTGTGGGATACGGTGGGAATTGGTAGCCTGCGTGCAATCACGTGCAATGGTGCAATCTCATATATATATGATATATACACCTCTCGAGGTGGCTAGGGACATGTCGGTTGTTTTGAGCGTTTGCATTTGACGAAATTTAACTAAAGGCTATATATACCATAAATATCATGCGCACTGATTTAATAATTTTGATATTTATGATGTCGTTGCAGATCCTTATAAAGTCCTGAGCCGCTGTTTGGTCGAGCCAAGGCAGAAATATCTAGTTCGTCGCATCGACAACGCGTTTGTGGAGTGCCTGAAGAAGGAATTAAGCGAACGACCAAGCACATTCTGTAAGACCAATCAAAGGAGATGACCTATTCACGCAGTCTGCAGATGAGTTCTTCGCAGAAAAAGACACTGGAATCACCCACCAAAGGCAAAAGCCAGTTAAATTGTATGTAACACGTTCTACGATAGGTTGGGATATTCTATTAGCGCCAAATCAAGAGAATATTAACATTTTCGGTTATTTTTTTGCTTAAAATTTCACCATTTTTGTGATGAAATATAAAAAGAAAGGCAATTTTTGCCAGATGAAAAAATATTGTTGAAGAAATGTTATGAGAGATTGCAATTTGTCTCAATAGTTCAAAAACAGAGACTGGCAAAAAAAGAAAAAAATTATGATCGAAAGAGCAGAAAAAAATATCTAACAATATGTAGATAATTTGTAAATATTTGCCACATGTGTGCTGCACGTGAGTTGCAAATTTTATTGGAAAATGCGCCAATCTTCTTTGCGGCAAAAAAAATCATGCAAAAGAAAGCTACAAAGAAATTTTTTTTTTAAATTTTTATTGGAATCCCAATGCATGCAAAATTTATGAATTATGTAAATTTCCATCAATGATTTCCAGGAGGAAATAAAAATGTGGATGAAAATGACTTTAAGATACACATGCAGCATGCATTTTACAGGTGTTGTGGAACCAAGCTAGTGGTCTTCAACATGTCAAGAATCAAGCTAGTGGTCTTCGACATGTCGAGAACCAAGCTAGTGGGCTAGTGGTCTTCGACATGTCGAGAACCAAGCTAGTGGGCTAGTGGTCTTCGACATGTCGAGAACCAAGCTAGTGGTCTTTGACATGTAGAGAACTAATGTTACTGGTCCTTGACATGTCGAGAACCCAGTGGTCTTAACAAAGCTAAACCAAATAACCAAATATATTAACACTTAACTTTATAAATCCCAACTTTATAAATCCCCAATTAATTAACTATTTCTAAATAGACCCCAGTCTTTGTCTAATAAGTCTTAGTTTCAGTGCTGAATTATCTAAGACAATGCACTTCAACCCTAGTTTAGAACAGGCCATGGCACATGAACCTGCACCACTACATGCATCAACAATGTACAATGATTTATCGTGGCAAAAAATCTTGATCAGCTCACAATACAGCTGGATGGGCTTTTGTCTTGTGTATTTTATACCACTATCCACTTCTTTTGCCAAAGGCTCTCCATCAACTCTAAATATATTTGTTGTGGCCTCCACTTCAATTGAACTACTTCCACTTACAATGAATGGGAAGATCACTTTTTTGAGTTTATCCTTCCCTATTATTAAAAAGAAGAAATATTAATGTATTACTAGTTCACAATCAAATTTTCAGCCAAGCAGGGCCTGAAAAAAAAATATATATAGATACCTTTTAAGTTTGGTAAGGAATTTTCAAAGTATGTTATATGCCACTCGAGGTTCATGCTTTTTAGAACAGTAGATGTTGCTTGTATCTGCTGCACCATGAGATCCTCGTTTTGTATAGTTGGAAATAGAATAAATCTGAAGTTGTCAACACCATTTCTTAGATTTACACGAGACGGGTAAAAACTCCAATATTATCAGCAGTCCATTTCTGTAAGTAAAAACAAATCATAAATTACATATATATCCATAGCTTTGTTTAACAGGAGAAATGAATGCAGTTACAGTAGAATCATACAATGATGTGTTGAAAAATTTACTTATAACTCAACCCCCATTACCAGCCAACCTTGCATAGACACAAGCAAAGAATGAGCAACCTACTAACCTTTGGTAAGTCTGTAAACACAAGACTTGCTCCATTAAAGGTTGGAACACTCTCAGCCAATGATGAATGGGTTAACTCAGTGAGGCAATCCATCAGAATAATCTTTATTTTTTCATCTTCACAACCTGGGCTTTGTGCTGACTGTTCTGCCAAAGCTCTTCGAACAAATTGTCGGAAGGTTTCCTGTACACCACGAACAATGCTTCCCCGAAAACCCTGAAGAACCTCTTCAGATGTGTAAGTAGGATATCTATAGAGGAATATAAACATAAAATGTTTTGTTAACTTAAATACAAAAAAATTACCAATCATACCATAATGATTCTAGATTTTAAATTTAATTTTTATAAATCATGGTTAGAATAGGCTTGTATAAGTACCTCCTAAATTTTGCACTCAGAAAAATTTGGTGAGCTAGCAAAATCACCAGAATGACAAGAAATATTTTCAAAGTAATATAATTTAAAATTACCTTTCTTTTGCCTCGGTCCAGGAAATGCAATTTGCTTGCTTTACAAAGTAGTTTTGTAAAGCTCACATTTCTTTCATTCTGGTGATCTCTGACTCCATTTCTGGCAAAGAGAACTCTTTTTCCATAAGTTTTTGGAGCAGGTTAAGAATTTCATCTTGAGTTAGATCACCTTTCAAACATTTTAACTTGATATAAGAAAAATCCAGCTTGCATGAAAATGCAGTGCCTTCTTTCAAAGCTTTTTTTGATGCCCTCTGCCCTTTCAATTCCATTTTCCCATACATCTCCATGATATTCAGCAGAGAATCATAAACAGCATCATTTAAATCACTTGCTGCAAAAAAAAACATTGGAAAGAGCCGTTTCCTAAAAAAAATATAAATCATAATCAGGAAATGTTTATTCTTGTATTGTTCATAAAATTATTTAACTTAAATTTGTGTATTAATATACAACTGTGTTCAGTGAGCTATAGCAGTCAGTCATACATGGAACAAACATATACATGCACCTGTGTAAGAGTACACAACTTTAAAATATACAACAAACCTTCTTCGTTAATTCACCTACTTTTAAGAATTGTTATACTGTAAGATAAATTCAATTGTAACTTACACTTTCACCAATAATGGTTGACATAAGGTTTCTCCAATCTGGACACTTCTTTCCACCAAATTGTTGCAGAAGTAGGTTCTTGCACAATGTGACCTGTTAACATACGTATCCCTTATATCAGTTTCAAATAAATTTTTCACCCATCAATTTGTGCCCCCAAGTTGATGTGGCATGGCTAAAGGTTTAATTCTACCTTTTCGACAAATAACAAATACTGTGTAATTAAACATGGAGGTAGATTTAGACCCCTTTGAATGTGGTTTCTACATTCTTTACAATTACTAAATATTTCAGTTCCTTGCTTATATTTACTCTGCATTGAGTGAGGGCATAGGTACATTTTACTCATACTCACTTTGTCACCTGTTGTGAGTTTATGGTGAACTGAGTCATCAATCTTAAGGCATGTTCGGGTAACATTTCTAAGTATTAAAAAAAAAAATAATTGTCATAAGCGATATGTAATGACGATTGCTTGTGTTTTCAAGGTAGAATTCATAATAATTTTCTAATTAAGTCCATAAACAAATATTACCGACAGAACATCAAAGGTTTTTGACATACCAGTGTAAAGCTGGACCTGCAACAAGAGCGGAGACATTTCTCCCAGTTTTTCCTCTTTCTCTAACTGGGAAAACGCCTCTCTTCTGTGGTTTCCACCAATAACTTCTAAGGTATACCCATCAAGTTTAGACTCGTCAAATTCAGATTTCGATTTTGCATTCTTCACGATCGCAATCATTGGCTTTACAAAATTGGTTGGCCTTTCCAGTATCTCGAACTTCAGTTTGTTCACAAAACTTGGATCCAGTGGTCTCACCAGAAACTCTTTTCTTGGCTGAACAAGCGTATGACTGAGAACTTTGTAGACATCTATCAAAATTGGAGTGTTTATAGTTAATAATATATCCTTGCGCCAGCCTCGTACCCAGGCGCTTTATTGGAAAACGTAAACGCTGCATTCAGCGTAATATAGAGATCTGTGGCTAATATGTGCGAGCGCGCAGGGGTAACGCAGTCTTTACGTTTTCCAATAAAGCGATTGGGTAAAAGGCTGTCCTTGCGCGCTCTTTTCTGGCAAACTATATCAACCGGCGAAACATTTAGATACTTCTTAAGTCGAAAGCGTACTGGTTAAAAAACGACAGAACTGTGTAATACTTACCTTCTTTTATTAAATTTGTTTCCTTTATCTTGCGGAGAAAATCTTTGTCATTCTCGCGTTCACTCTTCTTTGAGGCTTCAGCGGTGTTTTTCTTTTGTATTTTTACTGCCGAAGAAAGGGGATCGACGCTGGGATATTCCTTAGGCGCAGCTCGTTTTGACGCCACAGGCATTGGGGTGGCTAGATGGGGGGGTTAGGTTGATAGTCTCGTTGACATGGATTTGATCATCCTCAGACTCCCAGCCTTCTTCCGGCAAAGGATCACTCTCTTTTCCAGACAGAACTATTTTGAAGCGTTCAGCTCAAGATTTAGTTGACTTTGAAAAGGGTGTGAAGGCTCGTGAAAACTTGTTGCCAGTAAAATCAAATAGCTGCAGGTTGAAGAGCAATGGCTCATCTTTACCATTAAACAAAATCTAAAAAAGTGCGTATTATAGTAAGTGACCAAATGTTGTTTTTATAGGTATCACAATTAATTTTGATTTGGCAGCAAAGTGGTGTCTGATGGCCGCCATATCCGGATTTAACACTTTTTTTCAAAAAGGGCATATGCATAACTTAGTAACATCACAAAGGCAGAAGCTAGGACATAACATGTTGTTGTCAAAGAGTCAAAAGGTTATCCTGTAATGGATGAGATAAATACAAGTGATTTGACAGGAGATGACCTTACACCAACAAGTAGTCCTTGTTTGGCACTGAGTGATCGTTTCGCAATACCATCTAGTGATTTGGAAGAACTTCCGACAGAAACAGATAAATCCGACGCGCTCAGTATAACTAGTACTCCTATTAGTAAGGACACTGAATCTGTAAACAGTTTAATCAATTGGTCTTCAAGTGCGACGACAACGTCGAGATTCTCGTCAGAGCTAGGATTCGACCACGATTCCGACAGCGACTTAGGATGTTTTCCTATATCATATTCAAGCAGCGAGGATGAGAGAGATGGTAAGTGACTTCAAGCACTTTATCAATAATGTAGGATAATTTAAGGAATTTAAACTGTTGAACTGTTTTGCCAAATTCAAAATCCCAATTTTCATATGAAAAGGAAGTACTTGGGCGCACACTGTTTGCAAATTTTTTATTGTGTGCGAAATTATTCAACATGTTGAATATACAGCACTGAAGGCACGCATGCCGAAAATCACAGAACATGACACCGCATACTGAAGGAGACAGCTTACGGCAATAGCCGCGAGTGAAGCTCAACTTGTGTACCCTTGGCTTTCTTTTCTTATTTTTTTTTAACTTCAATCTAAAATGTTCAAATAAATTTAAGTTATGCGATTTTAAAAAATATTTCTTTAAAATGTAAATGTTGTTTGTAGCTAAATAATACTTTTTACCGTAGAATATGATGATAATAACATGGGTCGAGCCACTCTAGCGGATAAGGTAACTGAGCAGCAATCCCTGGAACTCAGAGGTACATTATTCTTTGTGAATTTACCACGACAAAAAGCAAATGTTGTTCAGATTGTCGAAAGAGCACTGTGTGAAGGAGGTGCTACTCTTAGCTACTTTTTAAACAAGAAAGTCACGCACATTGTAACTGACGATCAAATCAACAATAAGAAATTTGAAAAGCTTCAGCTGTTACAGAAGGTTAACCAAAATACACGCTCAATGGTGATGATCCGGAAAAGTCATGAGCAGTTAGACAATATGCCATTAAACACATTATCCGGATTAGAGCAGGCATCACGCTTAGGAATTAAAATTATTTGCTTGTCAGACTTTTTAAAAGATCGCAATGTTATGAACGTTCTAATGAAAGCTAAGGAAAAAAATAGTTATGTTAAAAAACAACGATATGTTAAGAGATGGATAAGGACTGTTATTTATTGAGTACGTATGGTATAAAAAAAATGTTAATAACAAACGTATTTTTCGGAGGTTATTAACTTTGCAATTAAATTTAATCATTAAACCTTGGATGAAGTATATAACTTGAAATTAAAATGAAAGTTACTTTACTTAGCTACCTTATATATAGTTATATAATAAAAAACTTTTATAGCGCGTCTTCTACAGATATCCATAAGCGCATACCATAATGCATGCAAGTACATGCTGTTCAAGTTTTGTATTACTGCGATCTTGTGATTTATTTGTTCATTCTATGGGATCAGTTACGCTTGATTCTCTGTATTTCAAAGCAAGGTGCTTGCGAAAAGTTGATCGCCCAACACTTTGCCCTAAAACGGAATTCGCCTTTACTTTAGCCTTAGCACCGCGACATTGTATATTCGTACAGAGAGGAATACGCATGGCTACTGGCTAGCCTTTTATGCATTCTACACGTTATAACGTAATAACGACAAACTTTGTTTAAACAGACAGACTTAACTGCTTGTATATTGCTAAATTTCTTTACATAATATCCTTCAGTGACACGTAACACAACAGAAGAAGTTAGAAAATCTAAGCAAACGAAGCTTTCCATTGATGAAGGTATGGTAACAGACTAATTTAGAAGTATAATTCTTTTCTGTTTTCCATCCCAGTGTAGAATGCATATGCTACAATGCTACAACGGCGACTAATACTAAACCGTATATTCACCCTTTTTTTAATTTCAGTACGAAAATTTTCTTGTTGTACTGAAAAATGCACTTGGAATGTTGAATATGCCGTCCTAATCTTAGCAAGGTCATCTTTTAATAACCTGTCTAATAAGGGAAAGAACCAGTGGGTTCTGAATTACATAATCCATCATCAGAATAAAAGGTAAACTATACTATTACTAAATATATTTAGTCCAACTAACAACCTAATTTTAACTCAAAATTATGGGCTAGAGGGTTGTTTAAAGGCTATGTGATTTTGGTCGTTCTCGTATATCCCTAAAAATGACAGCAAGAGTGAGCGATCGAGACTTGCACGGACGATTTTCTTGCACGGATAAGAGGATTTGGAAAAATAAAATATGTAAAATATGTAACTTATTTCGACATCACACAACAATAGTGTTTAACAATAAGGAATATATATGACTGATTATAAATGTGGTAATTCCAGCTATATGCCAAATTAAGACCTAAGCAAGAACGAAATTCATAACAAAAGCTAGAAAAAGAGTGCCAAAATTTGTAAAATTCCACTTCTATAAATTAAATTACAGATTAATGTAATCTATTTTAATATATTTAGTCTATTAGGGCGTAACTGCTATTCATTTGGTAGGATTTGTTGTTTATCTATTATGCAAAAAGTACATGCATTCAAATTTATATTTTTTTTCAGTGATAAGAATATACTTTTCATGGTTTATGGAAATGTGGTTTGCAAAAAAGCGTGGTTAGCAATATACTCTATAAGTGAGAAAAAATTCAGCAGATTGGTCCAGCATCATGTTAATGGTAATTTAACAATAGCAAGCCAAGAAAAGAAAAAAAGAAAGACAAAAACTTATATAGCGAAAGCCTGGATGAAAACATCATTTTCCAAGATGGGGGATAAAATGCCTGATAGCATAAGAATCCATTTGCCATGCTACCTCAATTACAGGATACTGTACAATTATATGGTGAAGATCTAAAAGCAATGGGGATGATCCAATTTGTTATTCCCAATTTTGCAAACTGTTGGAGACAGATTTCAAGGAAGTCACTATTCCTAAGGTGAGCTAAAAATTTTCATCTTTTAACTAATTACTTCAATTTATTTTTTTCCAAAGTGATTGATTGTTGTTTTTTGTAGGTTACAAGGCTAACAAAGTGTGACATATGTGTCATTCTAAAAGAGGAGAAGCAAAAGACCTTGGATAAAACAGAGAGAAATTACTATGATGTTCTTTACAACCAACATAATCAGCTTCAAAGGTAATTAAAACAGATTAGAGTGACTAGAACCACTTACTATATAATTTTAAACAAAAATTGATTGATTATTGCAACTGCTGCTAGCTGCCATACCTCTCGACAGTGTGTTAGTACAGTAATTTATGTTTACCTCATATCACCCTTATAGGGAAGAGCGTGAGAAGTATTATAAACACCGTGCCAAAGCTAAATCAGCTCCTAAAAAATATGCATGCATTATAATTGATGGAATGGATCAGATGAAACGAATGATCCTACAACTCCTTCATCAAATGAAAGCATATTCAAGTGCATGGAAGTTGAAAACACATCTTACTGGAGTATTGAATCATGGGCACGAAGCAATTGGTTATTTTGATTTACACCAATGGGCACATGATAGCAACTTAACAATCAATGTTTTGCTACGAGTTCTGCTAAGAATGGATAAAATACCAGACCGGCTTTACCTTCAGATGGATAATTGTTGGCGAGAAAACAAAAATCAGTATTTATAATAACTTGTAGGTACACCACGTAAGTATTAAATACTGCAAAGCTTTCGGTCCGTTAACCCGGACCTTCATCAGTGCAATTACTTGAATACACGTTTGCGCGTCACTTAAATATCATGTTAGTCGTGATTAGTTTGCTCGCGCTATTAATTAAACGGTTTCATTTAATTAAGTTCTATTTAATGCGCGCGCCCTAGACAAGTATTTGACTAAGAGACACCGAAAAGAGCACGCCACGTACTATTAAGTGGCTTTCCCTCTTGGACGATAGTTTGATGTTTATAAATTTCAATAGATTCTCTCATTTTACGAGAGACAGTAAACTTATCGTTTGCTAAAATGGTAGCATCGTTCCATTTAATGCGATGATCATAAGTCCATGCATGGTGAGCTACTGCAGACTTATCCAGTTTACCTTTCTCGCAGTTCGTCTTATGTTCTTTAAGACGTACTGAGAGATTTCTACCGGTCTCTCCTATGTAAACCAAACCACATTCACATGGAATGCGGTACACACCAGGTTTCTGTTGTTCATCGACGCCATCCTTGTGTGTGTAAAGAGCGCGAAACAATTTGTTATTGCTAGAATGGTAAACTTGTATTCCAACTTCTTTTAAAATCCTAACGATTTTATATGAAGCTGGGCCAATATATGGTAAACAAGGATGGCGTCGATGAACAACAGAAACCTGGTGTGTACCGCATTCCATGTGAATGTGGTTTGGTTTACATTGGAGAGACCGGTAGAAATCTCTCAGTACGTCTTAAAGAACATAAGACGAACTGCGAGAAAGGTAAACTGGATAAGTCTGCAGTAGCTCACCATGCATGGACTTATGATCATCGCATTAAATGGAACGATGCTACCATTTTAGCAAACGATAAGTTTACTGTCTCTCGTAAAATGAGAGAATCTATTGAAATTTATAAACATCAAACTATCGTCCAAGAGGGAAAGCCACTTAATAGTACGTGGCGTGCTCTTTTCGGTGTCTCTTAGTCAAATACTTGTCTAGGGCGCGCGCATTAAATAGAACTTAATTAAATGAAACCGTTTAATTAATAGCGCGAGCAAACTAATCACGACTAACATGATATTTAAGTGACGCGCAAACGTGTATTCAAGTAATTGCACTGATGAAGGTCCGGGTTAACGGACCGAAAGCTTTGCAGTATTTAATACTTACGTGGTGTACCTACAAGTTATTATAATTACTAAAGTCGCCATGCAATCATACAAGAAAATTAAAAATCAGTATGTTATAACTTTCCTGGGGGTCTTAGTTAAATTGGAGATATTCAAAAAGGTATTTAAAAATACATATACATGTATATATATCATAGCATTAGAATACTCTGCAGCAATAAACCTTAATATAACTGTGATACATTAATTATTCTTAGGTGAAAGTGAACTTTCTAATGAAAGGACACACCCATGAAGATTGTGATCAGCTGTTCAGCAGATTTGGAGTCAAACTCTCAACCAATGATGTTGTTACAGTTAAAGGTAATAAAGTTAATTTCTTCACAATGGATCTTACTAAGCTTAATAATTTTAAAAAATTATATTTATAGATTTAACACGAATATTTGAGGAGTCATACACACCACACCCAGTTGCTGAACTTTTAGAAACTATGTACAATGTACGAGACTGGCTGGCACCAGTTAATATGTCACTGCACAACATAAGCAACCCACATATATTTGTGATTACAAAGAATGGAACTGGCGATGTCGTTCTCAGATACAAGAATTGGAGTAGGGATACGAACTGGTTACCCAGTGATAATGCTGAAAAAGGGATCACAATTATCAAACATGTAAGAATATCAAAACTTACAGTTCTTTAGTTTCCTTCATCCATGAAATAAATGAGGCAGTAAATATAAATTGTCATTGCTTGACTTCAGTTATCTATTAACGAACTGTGTTTTTATTAGAGGGTAGTTAGAGTGTAGTTAGAAGGTAACCGTGGCCTATATATCCAAATTTCAGCTTTGACTTCACATACATTTGTTATTATAGTGTTCGGAAATTCCAAACGAAGCTCCCGATTTCGCAACGTCCTCCGCGGATAACTTCGATATGGAGCGCTTGCGAAGGGACATTCCCAAATTTCTGGACAATTCTCGTGTGATTAAAGAGGAACACAAAGACTGGTGGGGCAATTTTTTCGAACAAGTTGACGTAGTTTACTGCAACATGGCAAAGGAGAAGCCAGTTACTTGGTTATTGGATGAATTACGGCTGTTGAAATCTGGCCATACTACAGGAACCTCTCGACCGAGAATGAAAAAGAAAGTAGAGATACTCCAGTTGATCCAGTGTCGTTTCGGAAGAGGTGGTAAAGTTGGTTAACGGTCAACTCGAAGATATCCCAGAGGTAAATAACGAAGATCTTTACAGTTGCAGCCTCGCACCTTTTTTGGAAAACATAAATATTGCATTCAGGTGCTATATACAGATCAATAGTAGAAACATCGTTTGCCATTGATCTCTTTATAGAGGCTGAACTACTGAATTCTGATTTGCACAAGTTTGATGTTTTCCAAATAAATATTTTAAAAAGTGTACAATTGTACAAACTACAAACCTCAGCAAGGTTCGAATTCTTTTACTCCATTTTACTCAAAACATTAGCCATCACATAATGATTCAACGAATAATTTTACGCTAGGTTTATACCGGTGCATATCGAAAACCAAGTGGTGCGACAGTGTCGAACATTTGGGACCACATTAAAGTTGAAGATTTTGTTGCTGTGTCCTTGGAAGGATACAACAATGTCCCTGTCATTGGGAAAGTTACGGGTATTAGCGAAATGCACGTTTCCATCCACTACTGGAAAGGCAGCTGGAATAAGAAATGGACTCCTTGGTTAACGAACACAAAGGAGCCTTGGGCAGATGTTCTACCAAAAGATTGTGTATATTTAGGAGCCTTTCATCTTGACGAAGAGTCCAAACTTCAAAGTGCGACAAAACGACAGATGAGGGACTTTTTAAAGAAAGCAAAGTAATGAAACTGACTGAAATATTTATAACTATATTGTAAGTATTAAATATTATTATTTCTTTTATTACTATTAGAATATTTAATACTAAATAATATTATTTAATATTAGATATCAATATTATTTCAACAAATTTATGCTGAAATAATAAAAATATATTGTTGAGGGCATTATTGTAAAAAGATGTGAACATTTGGTAAAGATAATTATTTATGTCCTAATTATAGCTAAAACAAATTAATTTACATTTCAGTACTGCTTGGTTGTCGACATGTCGAAGATCACTAGCTTGGTTCTCGACATGTCGAAGACCACTAGCTTGGTTGTCGACATGTCGAAGATCACTAGCTTAGTTCTCGACATGTCTAAGATCACTAGCTTAGTTCTCGACATGTCGAAGACCACTTGCTTGGTTCTCCACATGTCGAAGATCACTAGCTTGGTTCTCGACATGTCGAAGACCACTTGCTTGGTTCTCAACATGTCAAAGACCACTAACTTGGTTCTCTACATCTCAAAGAAGGATAGCTTGGTTCTCCACATGTCGAGGACCTGTAGCTTGATTTTCAACATGTAGAAGACAACTAGGTTTGTTCTCGACATGTCGAAGACCATTAGATTGGTTCTCGTTTAGCTTAGTACCATACTAATAACTAGATTCAGTAATTAAATAACCATTTATATACATTTTGTATATCAGTTCATAATCCACTGTAGATATTAAAAATTGTGTCTTTTTGAATAAAAAAAATACACCGTAATAGAACTATGGTTTCAATGATGGGGGTCCCATGTTTTGGTAATTTTTGTCAACAACTCAATTTTTCTAAATTAATGGCACAAAATAAGATAGTTTTAGCATGAAAAAACTGCAATTTTTAACTTTCTGGACAAATATGATAAAAATCGTAGGAAAAAGCCCAACTTTTAGCTGAATAGAATATCCCAACCCATCGTAGAACGTGTTATGTAAAATTGCTAAACCTTTTTGTACAGGACAAAACTCTATATGTAGTTGATGCCTGCGGAGGTGCAGGATCATGTGCCTTAGCTTGCCAAGAACTTGGTGTAAAATGCCTAGTTCTTGACAGGTCTGCTATTAAAGTGAGATTAATCCAGCAGAGGGCTAAATAAATCAGGTAAACCCAGCAAATACAGTATGTACCTGACAGTAGTGATCTTAATATGTTGTTTTTATTGAAAGTGTATATGGTAGAGTTGCTGTTCATTGCTGTACCAGCTTCTATGTTAAGCTCAAGAATGTATTTTATTAATGTAATTTATTTAATTAATTAATTATATGATTAATTGAACAATTTCCTAACAGTTAATATTGTATATATTGTAATTATTATATTGTATTATTATATTATATTGTATATTTTCTCTAAATCAGGCAAGGCTTCGAGATCTCGAAACCAGGCAAAGGCTTCGAGATCTCGAAACCAGGCAAAGGCTTCGAGATCTCAAAACCAGACAAGGCTTCGAGATCTCAAAACCAGGCAAAGGCTTCAAGATCTCGAAACCAGGCAAAGGCTTCGAGATCTCGAAACCAGGCAAGGCTTTGCTTTGTGATATTGGACATGCTGTAAATCAATTTTCCATTATAATTGTGGCAAATTTGCCAAATACCACACTGTGCTGAATCATTCTTCATTTTAGTGGCAAAATACCTCAAAATA